TTAATTTTATGGAATTGTTGAAAATTTTCTTAAGGATTCAGCAAAATTGCAGTACCATGCGCAAACAGTGGAGAATATTAGAGCAGCAATTGAAAACCCTGCCGAAACGGATGTGGCAATCGCTTTGGATACCAAGGGACCAGAAATCAGGACCGGGATCATTGAAACGGTACTTTTTTGTTTAAAAAAACACAGGCACTTGATACGATACATTTATTTACTCCCGAGACTGCCCGAGCAAACTCGAGCTTCTTTCGGCATAGGTCTAATTTTATTAGTTGAATGAGCTGTCTTTGCAACACTTTACCCAGCCATGTTTCCATTAGTCTGAGCCGGAAATGCTGAAATTAGATTTCAGGGGAAAAGTGACGAAGTGCTGCTGAAGAGGGGCATGGATTTGGTGCTCACAACAGATGATGCTTACATGTCAAAATGCACCACTGAGCGGATTTATGTGGATTACAAAAACATGACAAAAGTGGTGCGCCCGGGTTCCGTGATTTACATCGATGATGGCCTCATCATGCTTATTGTAAACAAAATCGGTATACAAAATTTCTTTGAAAAGCATAAGCTCCATAAAAAACAACTTAAGTGTTACGCTAAATTTGCTGATGAGTGGGTGGAGGACGACTTCTTTTGAAAACCATTATCGTTAACTTGTGAAATAGACAAAATTCTACTTAAAAGAGTGCAGAAAGTGTGAAAAGTTGGAAAAGAACGAAAGACTGACGAATCCGAGAAATTGAAAGAGCTGAAAAACCAGTCCGCCAGTGCAATGTGTCAATTTGATTGCATAAAGACTGCCTAATCGAATGTGAAGATACTTGCAAAGTTAATATGTCAGTAACATCCGCTGATTTGAATATAAAAAGACTCTTTGTGTCGTTTCGAGGAATTCATTGAAAGAAGCATAAGTCTGCGAAGTAGATACTATGGTCGAGAATAAAGCATTTGAGACGAGGTGGTGATGCTCAATACGCACCAGTAACATCTCGGAGCGGTAAAAATCTTGCCAAAATGCTTCTTCGGGAGAAACGATAAGCTGGTAGTCTTTCTAAGAGATGAATAGGGCAGTATTGATAAAAGCGGCTGGAAAAGTTGCCAGGTATATTATTGAGGAAAGAACGGTGTGAGTTACAGCCATCGCATCCAAGTAAAATCCTTGATTTATTTCCACCGGACAGTCGTTATTTCATACAACTTATGTAACTTCGCAACGTATTTCCGCTCATTTAGCTTCACTTATTGGAGCAACTTGTAGAAGACGAGTCGATTTACTGTAAAATTGAAAATGGTGGCTTATTGGGAAGTCAGAAAGGTGTGAATCTTCCGGGTGCACTTGTCGATTTTCCAGCAGTCACCAATCGCGACTATAGCGATTTGCAGTTTGCTGTCAAACTGGTTAGCCGAACAAGTGTTTTTTTTTTCAAACTTTGTAAAAACAGCGACTAATATTGTAAGCGTCTCAAGGGTCAAGACGCCATCCGTGTTCAAACTTTGTCGTGAACGGATCCTGTTCTCGAAAGTCGTTTTGTACCGGTAGGGAATCGAACCACTCCTTTTCGCATCCGAACGCAACGCGCTTCCACTACACTACTGGTCCACTACTCCAGGCACATTTACTGCGTATCTGCCTTCTAAAATAGAATACATCTTTCTTTTCTTCTCTGCCACCCATAGGTAGTTCTCATCTTTTTCCTCTGTGATGGTTTCTTGGCCAGCTTTTCGCGGGTTTTTCGCGGCACTCTCTGTGAGGGCTGAGGCACTCGGAAGTATTTTGTGAGTAGCAAATGCCAACAGCAGTTATCCGCTGGCAAGCTTGTCGACGGTTCTTTCTTTTGAAAGTCCATCAAGAGCAGACTAGCGTGGCAGAATGTAGCATAAAATGTCTGGGTTTTATAGTAAGTAAAATTATTCACAGACCTCCAAATGCTCATGCTTGCCTTTTCGTAAAAAACGCTTCTGCTCCTAGAACGTTTTCTGTTCTTAGAATTTTTTGAGGCAAAAATTTCAGCTCGAAGCCAACTAGCGTAGAAAATTTTTGCTATTCCTACACTATGCCCTTTCTCTTTCAACAGAAAGTGCATGGCATGAATGTGCAGGATGCCTCGATAAGCGGTGTATTGCATACATTATTCTCATGTGACCAGAAGACCAAGATCTTTGAGATAGTTTTTTTTTTTTTGCTTTAGGGTATTGACATCATTTTTGCATCATTCATCCGAAACGCTGATGGAATCCGTGAAATACGTAAGGTGCTTGGCGAAAAGGGCAAGCAAATCAAAGTCATTGCAAAGATTGAAAATCAACAAGGCGTTGACAAGTAAAGATTTTTCTTCGCTTGTTATAGGAAAGTGGCAATCTGACAACTTTTGTCCAAAAGATCAATCATTTCAATTAACAACTTCTACGCGACCGAAACAACTTAGGTTCTTTTCCAAGGGCGATGTTGTGTTTCATCGACGCTTCAGTGCTGGCGCCACACAACATACGGACTGGTAAATTGCAAAAAATTTCAGTTCTGATGAAATAATTCAAGAAGCCGATGGAATAATGGTAGCTCGTGGTGATCTGGGCATTGAGATACCACCCGAGAAAGTTTTTCTCGCCCAGAAAATGCTAACTGCAAAGTGCAACTTATACGGCAAGCCAGTCATTTGTGCAACACAGATGCTCGAATCGATGATACACAAGCCAAGACCGACTCGTGCTGAAGGTACTGCACCAACATTTCACCGAAATTCAACATCCAAGAATCTCTCAAAAGTTCATCTATTGTTTTTATCTAAGAAATGCAATATTGTGCAGAAAATTTGCCTTTCGATTAGGTTCTGGGATAGGCAGAAAATTATCTGTGTTAGTCTAAAAACAGAACCTGCCAAGAGTAGGGGTATTCGTAGCTGTTCTTGCTTTTTGTGATGAAGTAATAAACGAGCGTGTGCGAAAATCCGTAAAATCAAAGATGTTAAAATCATCCATTTCGGATAACGCGGATTTAAATTCATTTGAGGATTGGCGTAATCATCTTGAACTTTTCAAATATACTGGGATGTGATAGAATGGCTTAGGAGACGATTTGAGTACGAAGTTCCTTTTTTTTTAAAAAAAAAGGAAAATAGAAAGAGTGTCGAATCAGCACGATAACTCCTTTTTCGAACCATACTGAAGCCAATATGTGTCAGACTAGTTGTGTTGCTTCAGCGGAGCTATCACCAGACAGTTTAGATTCTTGTCTTTTTTTTTCACATTCCTAAATAATTTTGAATGCGGTAATTTATAGCAAAAATTCAAGGGGCTTGCCGCAGCGTGCATCAAACGATCAGTGTAAATCTGTGTGCCAGGTTTTATGAGTTAAATAGTAACATGTTACCAGGCAGTGATGTGGCGAATGCGGTTCTAGATGGTGCTGACTGTGTAATGCTGAGTGGCGAAACCGCAAAAGGACAGTACCCCGTTGAAGCGCTTTCAACGATGGCGCAGGTCTGTTTTAGGTTTCTAGTCATTTTGCTAACCACGGCGAAATGATTCCGTTCCGAAGAATGGAAATGCGGGCCTGGGGAGGCTGCTCAGTCATATTCTTTACGATGGGCTGCTGCTAACTGAAAATGAATGAATGTGATAAGACATAAAATGGACGAATGCGGCAATCTTGTCTTCTCCTTTATTCCTTCTTCACACCATTCTCACCCCCTTAATTTCAAAATCGCAGCCCTTTCCTATCTTTCCTTGCGTCTTTCTCTGCCTCTATTTTCTCTTCCTTTTTCTTTAAATGTTGACACCGTCATACTGACGAAGTCCTGTCTCAGTGTTAAGATGTATATGACTTAGCGGACCGAAACGTCTTATCTCGCTCTTGCCTCCTTTCCTGATTCTCTTCCTGCTTTTTGTTTTCAGTTTGCCTTATTGATGCTACAATCGACATATAATCAGACGTGGCTGTGAGGCAGAAAAATAAAAGATCCGGGACGATTGCTCATGTTCTGGATGCTAAATACATTTGCAGATCTGTAAGCAAGCAGAGACGGCAATCTTTTACACGAAAGCCTCGGAAGAACTGATACGGATGACGCCAACGCCGACCGATGATGCGCATACAATAGCTATTGCGGCCAATTCGGCGGTGCAATCCTGTCATGCTGTCGCCGTCATTTGTGTAACTGTTACCGGAAGGTTAGTATGCTTTCTTGCAAAATTTTACCACAGCTGGAAAAGCTGGGAACCGCCTTTTTTCGTGACGTGCTAGAAGTTAAGGGATAGTGTGGCTGCTGCTGAAGCTAACAGAATTTGTTTAGTTGAGAGTGTATGTTTATCCAAATTGCCATATACCCAGTCCGTAATAATACAACGCGAAAACGGTCCGAACCGGAGTCTATTAAAAATCAGAAATTAATGCTAAATAAATCGAATTCAAATAAATGTTAAGTTTGGAAATGGGCTGAATTTGCGAAAAAAAAAATTTTGAGTAAATAATCAAAAGTCAAAACCCCTTTCTTGTTTATTCTCTGTAAGAGTCTCAGAGGCTGAGATTGATAAATGCTCTTAGTCTTAATGATAAACGATTTGCGTCACGGTGATAATTTCGTCCTGAATTTCTGCTTTTCCTAATATTTTCCTATATCTTTTACAGAGCAGCAACACTTTTATCTCGTTATCGGCCGCCAGTGCCAATTTTTGCGGTTTGTCGTGACCGAATGATTCGAAGGCAGCTTCACTTATGGCGAGGCGTTTTCCCGCTGTATTTTGAAGGTCAGCGCGCCTTTTGCATTTATACAATGATACGCCAGGCTGTCGTGTGTTTTTTGTTAAATTTGAAACAGTCAAATAGTTAACAGCACGGATGGTTGTTGCTTTACAGCCTAACATCTGGATTCAGCTATGTTTTGTTTTGGCTTTTTCTTGCATGCAAAGGGAAGAGGGCATCGGCGAGGATGGCAGTATTGCATCACGGGGCCGCGAGAAAACAAATTTAAACGCACGTGAATATAAAACATCCTTGCAAAACTTCAGCTTCGCGGATAGTCCGGCGCCCGAAATCACCAGTTTGTTACAAATATCTCTGACATCCTAAGGAATGGTGCAAGTTAAACTCCTAATTCTATTAAGGTACACGATTTCCCAAAAGGACGATAAATGTTCTGGCAAAATTGCACTATTGTTTTTCAAGTACTTTTCGAGTTGGCATGATGCCAGCTGCGAATTTTAGCACAATCATAAGCATGAAACAAGGGTGCGCGACAAATTTAAAGTTTTTAGCTCATAAATGGACAAAGAATTTCCTGTGCAGTCCAACTTTCCAAGTTTTCCGACTCCCGACATCGTTTTCCCTCAAAAAATTTACATGTTTCTTTAAGGCGCCCGTGCGTGAGATCCAGGCATACAAGGGCGATGATTTTAAAACGAAGGGGTAAAAAATATGCTGGGAATGTTTCCGATACTTCAGCCTTCCAGTTTTTGTCGTTACTGGGTTGAATTGAGTGACAAAGTTCACTCGATTTTCCGAACATATATACACACAGGCTCTCGAGAGTACGCATGTTCGCATTTGCATGAAATGCGAAAACACATGAAAAGCATTTAACAGCGGCCTCAACACAAATGCACCATAGCCAGTAGGCGTAAAAGAAATTTGAAAATTAGTTTTAAAAAGCAGTTTGAAAATGAGTTAGACGAACTAATGTGAGTTATAGCTCAAAGTACGGACTGGCGTGTGGATTTGTACGATCGCATACGTTATGGAATAAAATGTGGTAAGGAACGAAAAGTAATACGCGATGGCGATTTGCTAATTATCGTCAGCGGCGCTACACAGGGTACTATTTCATTTTACAGGATGGATGAAATGAATAAAAGAACAACTTCCGTCACAAACTTGAATTCCGTTTTTTAAAGAACACCCGCAAAACTGAGAATGACGAACTGATCTTGCCTTAAAATTGAATGAATATCCTTGAAAAACGGGGTTTTACATGCATTAGCTTCAGCAGGGTTAGGTAGCAGAACGTCATATGGCTCGCCATTCCAAACAACCAAAAACAACTACGTGTTGTACGGACACGGAATGGTCTAAAAGATTTTTTTATCGCTGGCATGCCTTAAAGTTTAAACAATTGCATTCCAGGATATGGTGCCACAAATGGCTTGCGCATCATCAAAGCCTAAAGACAGAGAAGCGACGGCGATGGGAGATATATCCGCCGAATGCATTATTTCAGGGTTCTTGGATTTATGGGCATTCATTGAATCCATAGCTTTAGTGGAAATGAGCTTACGAATGGGCCTTCTTTTATTTCTACGTTATTTTTGCGTCACACTCCTCATACTGTCCACCTTCAGAATAATAATTTTCGATGGATCGCGATCTGGAATGATTGCCTAGAACATTTTACCCAGACTGCTGAATTCAGACAGCTGAAAGTCTACGCCAACAGCGAGCTTTCAATGCTTGTAGGGTTGGCTGTACATGTATTTCAGATCATAACGAGATAAGAGGTAGTACCTGTCTCCACTCTGCACCTGCAGTAGCTTTTCCCCTTAGCCCCTAGAACATTTGTGTTTGCTACAGCACCACTTCCACAACTTATTGAAACCAGCAGCTCTTCTTGACAAAATTCGATCTTTCATGCTCTTTTCAGATCAGTTGTTTTTGCTGAGTCGCACACAAAACACTGTTTTTCTGGATGACACTTTATCAATAATTCATAAATATCATAAGGAACAAAAAAAAAAATTACACTGCCATTTACAAAACAGCTGCTTCTGCGGTATGTAAAATTTATTGTCTAAAGAGAGAGAGAGCGAGAGAGAACTGAAAGAACCGTTTCACGGAAAGGCAAGCGTAACGTCGCTGTAAAAAAAAAAAAAAAATAATGCGTGCACTCAAAATGCAACTGTATAACAACCTAAAACATTAGTTCTTATAAAGCCATTTTGCAAATATTACAAGTAAACAGAGAGTAACACAGTTCATAAATTTGCATTAAAAAAAAA